CATGATCATGACTAAATCTGCACAAATATCCAATTGACTATTGAAGATACTGCAATTAAGAGTGTTAATAACTATAAATACTTAGGAACAGTGGCGGCTTTTCTTTATGTGCTGCTGAGCTGCAGAACTACCAAACAACCATAGCAAATCTTAATTATTAAAGAATAATTAATATAGTTTTATTTCAAATCTGCCATATTATCATATTAAACATAAACTGTTAATAATAATTCACCAACAACGATGATTAATATTATTTTTTTTACGTATTTACTCCTCTAGTGAAACCGTATAATTTTTTTACGTATTTGGTGCTCCAGTGAAGCAATCTTTTTACGTATTTGCTGCTCCAGTGAAGCCGCGTCGATAACAACCGAAACACTGGCAGCGGTTAAATGCATTTATTAGGCAAACGGCGATCTTAGCCGATGTGCTTCGGCAATCGGCTGATTAACGGCCTCGGAAATGTGTTTGCGAGCTGCAATTCACGACAGTTATTCGTGACCGTTGCATCTGTGCCAGAGAACTACGAACGCAGAGAAGCGACACTCCTTTCATCTTGCGTGGGCAAGCCGCCAACGAGTGAAAATGACAGGAAAGCACCTTATTTTTTAATAGTCAGTGGGCATATTACACAATATAAATTCTTAAATAAAATTTAGCATTTATGTTGACTTTCAATAAATATGAAATATTGCACATGAAATATATTTGTATTTATAAATAATACTTCATTACTTACAACTATAAGAGTATTAGTATATTCGAAGTGTATTGTAAATAATGAAGTATTTAACTTTTGTCAATATCTCATCTTAATAAATTTACAGTTTTCTCCTGATTAAGTCACAAAATTGTCACTAAATATTGAGATATACAATAAATAAAGTTTTAATATTTTTTATTTGTAATTCCCATTTAAATATTTATTCCCTAAATATGTTGTGTACTCCGATCCATATATTTGATCTTTGTTATTTATATGTAACGAATTAAACATTGACAGACAACTTTTGTATATAGCAAAAAGTAGATGAGCATTTAGTTTTTTCATAATTTAATGTAAGTTTGTTTGGTGAAAAAGACAGCAAATATTTGAAGTTATGTTAATGTAAGTTTGTTTATTTGCAATCATGTTTTTATTTTGAAGTCTTGTTCTGTTATAATTTTAAGATTTTCCAATTTTCGATCTAATTATGTCTCCAACAATTTTTAGTTTGAGCATTTTAGGAATTTCTTTGTTTCGTTTAAATCAAATATTCTCGTGTATAAAACCCTCTATATATTTTTATTTCCTAAAAATACTATATTCGTATTGTTGTCTGCGAGCGCTTTCACACCAGTAGGCCAACATCTGTGTTGATTTTTTGACCTGAGCCTTCGGAGACAATAAATTTAATGTGTGTTCGTAATTCTCTGGTTTTTATTAATAATTAATAAATAATAAATAATTGACTGTATAAAATTCTGTGGGGCTTTTGAGCTCGCCTTACGAGGACACGATGAATCTGAAACATCAGATAACCCTGGAATTTTTCGTGGTTTAGTGAATTTTTCTGCTGAACTTGATAAAACACTTAGTGAACACCTTACAAATGCGACAATTTTCAAAGGTACCTCAAAAACAATACAAAATGATATTTTGGATTGCATGCTAGAAGTATACGCTGAGGAGATTTTAAACGAAATCAATGAAGCCCCATTTTTAGCAGTGATAGCTGATGAGACAACGGATGTTTCTATGAAATTTCAAATGGTCATTGTTTTTCGTTATGTAAAAAACGGTGCTCCAGTTGAAAGGTTTTGGACTTTTTTGCTTCCAGAAAAACATGATGCTGAAACCTTAGCTAACACAATTTTGAATGTTTTAGACCCAATATTAAAGAATAACAAAAATAAGCTCATTGCACAAAGTTATGACGGAGCAGCTGTTATGAGTGGGATACATGGCGGAGTGCAAACAATAATTAAGAGAAAATATGAAACTGCTCATTTTGTGCACTGTTACGCCCATCAATTGAATCTAAAAGGTGCAGTGCCTTTACTAAAATTTATAATTTCTAATAATTTAGAGGACACATTAACAGAAACCAAAAAGTTGATACAAATTCTGGTGACTACGCCAATGACCACAGCAGAAGCTGAACGTAGTTTTTCAACTTTAAAACGGATCAAAACATTTTTAAGAAATTCAATGTGCGAAGACAGATTAACAGCCCTTTCCACACTCTCGATAGAAAAAAAGTTCATCGCTTCAATACCGAACTTTAACGATAAAGTAATCGAAAAGTTTGCGACAAAAAAGGACCGGCGTATTAATTTCCAATTTAGAAAAATGCAATAAATGTAAGTTAATCAGATTTTTATAGCATGTCGTTATTAGTTACTATTAATTAGTATTAAAGCTAATTTTATTGTTTTTGTTTTCGTATGTTATTCTATTTCTATTATTTTATATTGACCGTGGTTCATGCAGCACACCCTATAGCAGATGTCACGAGCCGCCACTGCTTAGGAACATGGATAACATCAGATGTAGACCAAACCAAAGAAATTAAGACACGTATTGAAATAGCACGTCATTTATTAAACTTAAAATATTTAGCATAGCATCATTTATTAAACTTAAAAAGTTTCTTTGTTGTCGAGATATAAGGTTAGAACTACGCCTGAGAATGCTTCGATGTTACGTGTTCTCTACTCTTCTTTATGGTCTGAAAGCTTGGACACTAAAATAAGTTCATCTGAATAAGTTGGCCGCCTTTGAATTTTGGTGTTACAGAAGAATCCTACGAATATCATGGATTCAAAAAATGTCAAACATTGAAGTAACTAGAAGGATAGGAAATGAGGCAGAAATAATATTAACTATTAAAAGACGAAAACTTGAGTACTTGGGACATGTGATGAGAGGGCAAAAATACGCATTATTACAACTTATTATGCAGGGCAAAATCCGAGAAAAGCGAAATGTGGGAAGACGAAGAATATCCTGGCTTAAGAACTTAAGGGAATGGTTTGAATGCAGTAGTGCAGACCTTTTTAGAGCGGCAGTCAACAGAGTCGGCATAGCCATGATGATTTCCAACCTTCGATAGAAGATGGAACTTAAATAAGAAGAAGTGAAACGGATTGCCTCTTCTAACTCAGTCATTCTTTTTAACCTGTTATAGGTGAAGTTCTACCTAGTTTCCACATCTTGGATTGGCCGTTTGGGAACTTTGTTATGTTGTAATTAATACTTTAAAGGCCTTTCTGAAGATAAGGTACTTTTTTTTAATGTTTTTTGCAGAATTGTCGAAAAAAGGACTTTTTATTTTATCTATTATCAAATCAGTTTTGACATAACATTCCTGAATTAATGAATCTAACAGTTTTTCTTGTTGGCGGTTTATATCCAGGAATCCACCCTGCAAACTTTTTAAAAGCTGGTTCTTCACCTATAGAAAACGGATGAAACGAGTCTTTGCATAAGTTAAATCAATAACTTTAGTCAAGAAAAAGAAACTGATAAAGATGACTTAAGTCTATTGTGTATTTTTGATGAATTAATTGGACATGACTCCTCTAAACATACAACTGTATCGAGAGATATACAAGAAGTCGACATGTATTTGTCTGATAATATATTACCCACAATAAATTTCGAACGGAGATTGGAACTGTCCATTACCGTGGTGGAAAAACCACCGCCATGTATATCCTAACTTAGCCACTATATTCATAAAATATTGTAGAATTGTAACAAAATCTTTTCCTTGTGAACACATGTTTAAAATCTGGTTTAATTTTAAATAAAAGAAGAACACGGTTAACAAGAAAAGTAGAAAAACTTGTTTATAAATGTCAATTTAGACGATTCGCGATTTAATAATAACGTGCAATGTAAATGTAAGTACGATTTAATATAAATGTAAGTACCATTTGTATTGTTTAATTTATTTTTCAAGTTATAATAAATATATCCTTTGTTAGGTTCTTTCACTTCAATACTTATACACATAAACGATAATAGCCAATATGTTTGTGTACTCGCTAATTTGAATCAACTAGTTACAGTTTACGAAAAACGGTTCCGATAAAAATTTTAAAAACGGTAGGACCCACCTCTAGTTTTTTAGGTATATTGAGATCGGAACCAGAGAATATGTCAAATATCTCTGATCGGAACTATTCGTCTCACTAATGGCCAATAGGTGTTAAAAATATTTGAGGAGGGGAGACCAAGGGGAAATATGATTGTTATCTTTGTCTATTCGCTGAAAATATGATTTTATATCTGCGTTAGATATCCTGTTAAATTTTACCATACCGACCATAAAATTTTTCCTACACTGTATATATATATATCCGGTTTTTTAGACGATACGCCCGTCCGGTAGGGATCTATGGAGGAGTATCACCAAGCCGCAAGCCCTTATCTCTTGCCGTACTGCTCCACCATAGGCCGATCAGATCCCAGCATATCCTAGTCTAAGCCGCAGATTCATCTAGAATTTTAAACTGCTGCGTTAGACTTTTTGTTTTCAGTACACCGAGCTGGGGCTCGACCCACATCCACTGAACCATTCGGATTATTTGGAACCATTATTTCTATAATATTAAGGAATGTTTTTACGTAAAAACACAAACATCGAATTTTTTGAAAATTTAAATTCTCTGTTATTTTTTATTAGACGTCGTTTACGACAGTACTTCAATTGGAGTACCCCTATTAATACTTACTATATTTCTACAAATTGAACAAGGACTCTTTTTTATTTTCCAATTCATTTTTTCTCTATTTTCTTCCTAATACACCTAAATACTTTCTCAGCTTTTAATATGTGTTTGCATTTGATTTTACTGGTATTTTTGTAGTCTATACTATTTAGGTTTTCGACAACTTTCAAATGTAAGAATATATGCTTCATTAATATTTCTACTCACATTTCTATCTTATAGGCAATATTTTGGTGCAATGAATAATATAAAAAGAGAACCTTTATAAAAACAACAAATTAAAATATAAAAATTTAATTCGAGACTCACAATAAATTACATATTTTATACAAAATCGTTTCTTGAAAAAATTATGTTTTAACAAAACAAACATTAGACATTATATCACAACCTTCATACTTCTTTATATTTCCAATAGAATTCACTTGATCTTCTTTAATGCAAGCACATCTGTAACTTTTTGAATTCACCTCATAATATTGTCTAGGCAAGCCAACCCAATCTCTCGAAATTCCTCCACTAAAACATAATCCAAATAAATATAGTTTTCTAAATATAAAAATAAAATATTTTTAGTATTTAGTATATCATAGTAAACACTGCTCTTTTTTATTTAGGACCATTTATTTGCCGTCCATTTTTTAACCGTCTGTATATAATTTTTGATAACTCCCCCAGTGACTTTGTACATACTGAAGGTGATCTATTTTAGTAAGAAAATCTGTGGCAAGAATATTACTTAAATGGCAGTTAAATGGAGATAAATAATCTTCATAGTTTAATTTTCGAGATGAGGGTTGTTCCATTTGCCATATGTCGTCAATGTAACTAGAAACGTTGAGAAAACTTTCCACAACTAAAAGCTGCTTCTTTTTTTCCCAGTAATGATGAGTTAGGTATGTAGTGGCTAGTTATACAATTTTATTCAACAACAGTTTATTGTTAACTGCCACTTTAACTATAAATTTTTCACTTAAGAATTCTCTGCGTAATGAAAGTGGAGGTTCATTAAGCTCACATTCCATGACCATTATGGGAGTACTACGAAGATAACCAGTGTTTAATCGAAGTGCTTTACTTTTTATACTTTTGATTTTTTGGAGTACAGCGTTTGATGCTGAGCTATAAAATATAGATCCGTATTCTAGGATCGATCTTAGTAAATTTCTGTACAGTAATATTGAGATGTTTGGATCAGCTCCCCAGTTACTGACACGTACAGTCTTGATAATATTCATTGCGTTTTCCGTCCTTCGTAATATATATTTTGTGTGTTCTTTCCAATTTAATTTTGAGTCTAAGAACACGCCAAGAAGTTTTATTGAAGTTTTATAATGAATTTTATAATTATCAAATTGTATGTGGTTTGGAGGAGAATAACGTTTTCTGGTAAAAGTAACAATGGTTGATTTGCTCTCCGAGATTGTTAAATTCTTATCCGCTGCCCATTATTTTATAATATTCAATCCTGATTTAAGGTTCTCATTACACTTATCTATTGACTTATTTTCTATATAGATTGCAACATCATCAGCATACTGTAAGATTCTTATATGTTGAGGAAGTTTATTTTCTAAATCAGCAGTATACAGAATATATAATAGAGGACTCAAAATGCTACCTTGTGGTAGTCCTAAATATGTGTACCGTGTGTTAGATTTATCACCATTTAATCTAACGTGTACTAATCGATTAATATACAAATTAATGATATTCCGTGTTACAGTTATTCCTATTTCCAACATTTTCGCATATAGAATGTGGAGATTAACATTGTCATAAGACCCTTTTATATCTAAAAACAAAGCACTAACCGCTTTCTTATAAGTAAAGGAATCATAAATGTCTAGCAATAAGTGACTCAGGCTTTCTTGTTTGGATTTACCTTTTCTAAAACCAAACTGAGTTTTTGATAATAGGTCGTTCTTTTCTAACCAAAATTCCAGACGGTTTTTAATAAGTCTCTCATATGTTTTAAGTATACATGAAGCCAGTCCTATTGGACGGTAAGAATCCCAATTATTTAACGACTTTCCGGGTTTCAAGATCGGGAGAATAGTATAAACGTGCCAATCGTCAAGAATCTTTATGCGCCGTGACCAAATTTCATTGTATATATTCAGAAACACAGTCTTACCAATTTTTGAAAGATTTGATAGCATCGAGTAATGGATTTCATCAGCACCTGGTGCTGAAGTTGAATTTTTATTTAACGAAAAGTAAAGTTCAGTGTTAGAAAATGGTTTGATTAAGAAGCGGATTTGTTCTGGATAATCGCATTGTGCATTCATTTGTAGATCACGAATTACTAATGGCAAATACTAAAAGAAGCAGGAATTAACAACGAAGATCTGAAAATAATTAGAAATATTTACTGGAATCAGACAGCAAATCTCAGAGTTGAAGGTGAACACACTGACTATATGAAGATCATGCGTGGAGTGAGGCAAGGCTGTATTTTGTCTCCTCTAATTCAGTCTGTACTCGAAAGAATATTTATCGAAGCTTTACACGAAACTGAAAAAGGGATTCTACTTAATGGTTACCGGCTAAACAACATCGGATATGCAGATGACACCATAGTATTTGCGGACCACTTAGAAGACCAACAAGTTCTTATGAACAAAATCACGCATTACAGTATAATATGGACTCAATATAAACGTTAAGAAGACAAAGCTTATCATAATTAGCAAGAAAAGGATAACAGAAGGTCAACTCTATGTTAACCAATCTCCTGTAGAAAGAGTTACGCACTACAACTACCTCGGCACCATAATAAATGAAGAATGGTCCAACAACCAGAAGATTAGAGTACGCATCGCAAAAGCTATATCCACCTTCAATCGGATGGGGACCTTCTTCAAGAGTCACAACCTCTCTTTTGATGCAAAAGTAAGAATGCTGCGATGCTACATCTTCTCTGTCCTTTTTTTATGGTGTTGAATCGTGGACCTTGAACGAAGATATGTGAAAAGAACTGGAAGTATTTGAGATGTGGCTATCTCGGAGAATACTTAAGATACCGTGGACTGACAGACTCACAAATGAGGAGGTCGTCAGAAGAATTGATAAGAACCGAGAGGTACTGACCACCATTAAATCTTGAAAGTTACAGTTCTTCGGACATATGCGAAATGAATCCAGATATGCTCTCCTTCAAGCCATCCAACAGGGAAAAATATTTGGAAAGCGAGGTCCAGAAAGAAGAAGAACATCTTGGTTAAAGAACCTCAGAATCTGGTTCAATACAACATCTGTGCAGCTTTTCCGCGTTGCTGCAGAAAAGATAAAGATTGCCATGATGAACAAGTATGTCCAATAGTGGACATGTAGGGAGAACATCAAATGAAGTTTCTGTTTAATTAAACATTCAATAATGACAGAGCATAAATTCAAATAATGTTTAAAGATTACTTAATATCTATTCAGTCTAATCTTAAAATGTAGTTATGAATTAGTTTTATTTATACTGCTTTAGTCTATGCTATCCAATTATAATTGTAAAAATTGCTATTAACTGACCTTTTATTAGAGCACCACAATTTCGTGCCTTTTTCTGCATCCCACTCAATGTTGCAAGGTGGAAACTTCTTCATGTCTTCCATTTCATTTTCTTTGTCCAGTTCTGCAGCTCTTATCAGTTTTTTAACTTGACTTCCATAAGAAGTAAGCTTACCATCTTCTTTATAATATTTTCCAATAACTTTACCTGCAAATGAAAATATTTGAAAAATATTGATACAGTTAGAATACATGATTTGCCTTTTTAATAATCAACTATCCCATATGTTTTACTCATGTTTGGTAACTATATCCATAATCTTTTGAAGGTCTTTTAGAGTATCTCATACAGATGACAGAATGTATCCTTGTCCTATTCCGATCTTGGTATTAATATCCTCTGATTCTTCTTCATGGAGATGTATCATTGTTGTTTGATTTCAATACAGGTTCTATACTTATAATTCTAAGATCACCAGTAGTTTCATTAATGTTTAGAGTCTGAGATGCTGTTTGATAGTCTATAAAGCATACACGAATATCACTGTTCACGTCTTTGCAAATTTGAAATAACATCTGAACAATATTTCTCTTGTATGCTGAACAATATTTCTCTTGTGTAAACTTCATTATAAAATACTATGTACATTGTCCAGTCTTAAGACATTATAACATACAGTGTTGATGCTGCCAAGTAACTTATTTGGATCACTTGTTTTTCTTGACTTATTTACTGTTTTAGATAGTAGTTATGGTACTCCTCTAATTTTTTCATCTTTCAGATTTTTTGTGATCCATTTATTATTCTTTTTCTTCTTGTCAAGTTTCTCAAATTTAGACATAAATTTCGAAACCATTTGTTTACTAGCATATAACAGATTTGGGTTATAATTATACTCCCTGTTTGCTCTATTTGAGAAATGCATGTACACAATCATCTGGGTGGTAACTTGAAGAACCTTTTAAGGATTTAACTTTCTTACTCTATGAACAGTTTAAGTCTTTCTACTCTCTCACTTACAATTCCAGTTCCCTGCCACTTGGCTGAACAATTTTTAGCAGGCTTATTTCATGTTTCTGAGGTTAAAGAATCTGCATTCATATAATGTAAAACTGCTCGAATTATTCTTCTGTTTTATCAATGATAGAAGCATATACTTATACAATATTTAATTTCACTGAAAAGTTGTTTAGGTTAGGTTAGGTTCGGTTAGGTTTGAGAGATTATTTTTAACAGTATCATGCTGGCACCATAAATACAAATGAAATCCTCCATAATTTCCAGCATACTAGACTTTACATTCCTCAACTGTACATTAATCATTTTCAGTTTTCCAGCATTATGCTATTTATATTGGATGATATTATTTATCGTTTCTACCTAGAGCACTATCATAACATTCCAAGTAAGTACATATATTGATACGATATATGTACTTACTGATATAAAAAATAATAAACAAAAAACTTCTTTACCTACTTGTTCATAAGAACTCTTGTAAAATTTAGCCCAGTGGTTAAGGGACCTCAACTCCTCTTTACTTAGATCTACAACATCATCACTGAGCTCCTCTTTATTAAATTTGCCAGTTACGAAACTCCTGGATGCATCACACCCTTAAAAATAAATGCTTCTTGTTAATTTATGATAGCTGGTAATATTTAATTATTTTTTCATTAAATTTTATGGGGTTAAGGGTATTAAAAGCCAACATGTCAGATAAATTTTAAAATTATTTATCCATTTTTGTTTATCTACTGCCAATTCTAATTTCAACGATTTTTTTCAATTATTTTAACAAACTATATGCACAATTTTATTTGAAAAGCCTAAGAAGATTCTTTTAGAAAACTTTCAAGAAAAAAAAGTAAGAACTTCTTATTAGGATGCTTTTCTTGGAGGATCTAAAAAACTCTCTTTTTTTGGCAATTTTGACATTTTAATCAATATTTAAACAATAATCTAGTAAAATTAAACTGATACTTTCATGAAAAATCATTCATTTTCACCTAAAATTTTATTTGGAAAAGTTAACCTAATTTTGACTGGGTTATTATGACTGGAAAAAGCATGGACCCTAATACCTGATCAAGTACATAACACAATATATTGGACATATATGCACATATATGATTGGGCTGAAGTACTGCGGAAAACAACCAAGAATCAGCTCAGAATCATAAAAAGCTTACTTACTAGAGATGGACAAGAAACACCTTTGTAATGAGACTATCTCATGAAAACTTAAGTGCAGACTCTACAGCAGAGACCACAAAATAGTTATCCATATTTTTCATGACTATGAGGTAGTAGATAGAAAGCAGCAAACACTTTTTAAAAAGTATTAAGTGACTCCAAAATCATATGAGACCCATACACTAGATATTTAAAAGCTGGTAAAGAATTCTAGGATTTTGGAATGAGATACCCAAGTAAATAGAATATGTACAAGAAGTCTATTAGCTGCAATACAACCAATTTGTAAGAGAGGGCTTCTAATAAAAAAGTAGGATATTCCAAATTATAGTTTGATGCTAAGATCTATCACAGCAAAATGGAAAGATTTTAAAAAATTGTCTATTCAGTGATATGTGGGATAATGAAAGGAATAGTGTAACATTATTTTGAAATATTCTGGGTACTTCATAAGTCTGATGTATCAAATTTATGTTTTTTCTTTAAGGATCTCTATATGTTATTGCATTTTTGGAGGTCATGTCAAAAATTAAATGAACCTTACTTGTTTAACTGCTTGTTCAGATTGTTAGGCCATTGTCTTCTGAGATTAGTTCTTGACGTTTTGCCAACACTAGGGGTTGGCATCTTCTGGAGATATTACTGATTCACTTGTAAGCTGAAGCTGACACTAATTCAATTTTAATTTAGTCCGTTTCATCTTACAAGTGAAGCAGTAATATCTCCACGAGATGCCAACCCCTAGTGTTGGTGAAACGTCAAGAACTAATCTCAGAAGACAACAGCCTAACAGCCCGAACAAACAGTTAAAAAAGTTAGATGATGACTGTGAAAGCCTAACGCATTTTAATGAATCTTCCCTGTATCTAAATATGTGGTTCCTGAGATATATTGGTTTTATTCAGATTTTTTACATTGAACATTTAGAGGTATTAAAGTTCTACTAAAACAAGTATGTTTAGGATTATAGACGGACTGCAGACTTACCAACAAATACATTATACTGCTGATTGGGACCATAATGCTTATGTCCTCGAGACACATCATAAACTTTTCCTAAGACAGCCAGGTAAAGTTGTGGTTTTTCTACCCCATTGTACAATTTCAAATCGTCTTTTGTAAATAATGGAACTCCTGATTTTTCAGTAAATTTGGTGTTATAAAACAAAAGGGACCCAAGAAGATTTCCGATAACATCACTGGTCTGATCTGGTAAAAATATTCCTACAAGAATAATAAGAACAGAACATCCTGCAACAGTTTTATACATTTTTAAGTAAATACTAATGTCGCTCTTAAAACGTTATAAAATAAGTTAACGTCATCATACAAACTTATGAAGTTTAAAATGTATATAGATAAAAATCATTATATTACAGCTGAACCTCGCTAAACTTAAATTAGGTTTTTAAATATAGTTTCGAAATGATGACATAACCTTAAAATATAGAACTGTCAAAAATAAAAACAAATGAATGGAATGGAATATGAATGGAATGTTGATCATCACAAGACAGTGTGATTGATAATCTCAAATATTTTTGTTTAATTCAAAGAACTACAATTGACATCGTGAAATTATGAAGGTAATTATTAAATTAGTTTCTATTTCCATGAAATTACATTAAAAAAAATGTTATAAATGGGAAATATAAAATAAATCAATTATTAAAAAACAAACGTCAACTCTTTAATCAGCACGTGGAAATGCTATGACGCAAAGGTTCAAGGTTGTAAAATTGGCAAATATTTAATTGCTTTTTTTAACTTTATCCTATATTTGTAATTTCCTTTCAGTATTAATCATTCTAGATTTTAGTTTACCTTTAAATATTAATGCATGACACCTGCTAAAAAATAAAAGGGGTTCTACAATGACTGTATTTTCTAGGTTTTCAGCGTTTACAAGCAAACATCCTGTAATACGAGGAATGCTTTCTTATGGAATTATCTGGCCTACATCTTGTATTATTCAACAGACCATAGCTGGAAAAACTTGGGAAAACTATGACTGGTTACATGCTTTAAGATTCAGTTTGTATGGTGGCTTGTTTACTGCTCCTACTCTTTATGGCTGGATAAGGATATCATCAATAGTGTGGCCAAAGAGCACCCTTAAATCGTCGATTACTAAGGTAAGTAAAGATTACAGTAAAATTAAACATTTACCCTTTCGAAAAAAATATTTTTGTTGGTGGATTATTGACAAAAGGAAAAAATTTAATTATTATTTCATAAACAAACTAGTGGATTATTGCAGAATCTGTTTAATTTCTAAAAAATTAACAAAAACCTTCTTCTGACTGTTCAGAAAATATATATTCAGATAGAAGAGATCTTATTTTATACTAAATATGAAATACATTTTAATAATTTGACCTAGTGTTTTGGAGAAGATTTGGGAAAATGTAACCTTGTCAGCATGTATGATTCAACTTGAAGGTGTCTGCAATGTTGTAGGTTGTAGTTTATACCTTTCTCTAACCGTAGATAATGTCCGAAATTAACAATGTCAGAAATCAGTACCTAGTTTTTTTATTGTATATGACCTGTCAGTTTCATAAGTGCACTGACAGGGGTTTCATAAAGCAGACAACAGAATTGTTTGTAGTATTATGTGGAATGCACTTTCACATTTCTTCTTCTTAAGGTTCCATCTTCTAACGAAGGTTGGATATCAACATGGCAATTCTTCACATTTACTTTTGTAAATTGCGAATAACTTAGTTTAATCATTGATTGAATAAAGTTTAATTCAATTTGGTAACAAAAAATAAATACGACTGACAGTAGTAATAGTGAACTTTGTCATAAAGAAATGTTGCAATTTAACACCTGAAGAAAAAACTATGATCAAAAATGTGTTTGAAGGACTTTGAGCCAGTGAACAAAATATGAATATAAGCAATGTAGTTACATTATGCAATATTTTGATAAAGTTTCCAAAGCTAGTGTGTACAACAGACGATGAAACAAACGATAATAATAATTTGAAGTTTGAGGCTAGAGAATGTAAACAAATAAAATTGGATGATACAATCAAACAGTCCATTCGTCATGCAGTTTATGAATATTATTTCAAAAAGGAATTATTAACTATAACAAAAAATTGCTTATTATCTTCAATCTAATGAAAATATTTCAAAAATATCAAGACATGTTTTGTTACATACTTCACACAAAATGAACTTTAGAGAAAGAGCAATAATATCAGTATTGACAAAGAAGAAATCATTTTATGACACAAAAAGTATCTAAAACAAATAGCAGAATTCTTAAGAGATGAAAAAAAACATACAGATGAAACATGTTTAAATGAAGGCCATCTGTGACAAAAACTTGGCAGGATTTAAATGTGAAAAACAAATGACAAGCTTTCCTAGATGGTTTGTTGACAGGTATAAAAGACTCATCTGGAAAGGGTCTCAGGATTTGTTGAAGGAGGTTTAAATGCATGTGTTTCTAAAAGACTAGATTACCATGAGGAAAAATGGTTTTTAGATATTATGTTAAAAATCAAACCAGGATCTGTTATTGTTATGTATAACGCTTCAGATCACTGCCAGTGTGTAGAACAGGTTCTAACCACTAAATGAAGAAGAGCTGAGATTGCTGATTGGTTTAATAAAAAAATATTAAATGCAATGAGAAAGTTTGAAAATCAATTTATAAAGAAATAAGAAAGAAAATAATAAAGAAACTAAAAAACAGTAAAGAGTCAGGAACGGACAGAGTTTCAGCAGAATTGTTGAAATATGGAGGACCCAAACTCTGGAGAAGAATCCATTACCTGATAAAGTTGGTATGCACCAAGAAGCAAATGGGAGAAATGGGCAGTTGGTCTTATACAGCCAATATATAAAAAAGGAGGTAAGAGGGAATGCCAGAATTACAGATGAAATTCCATTGCTAAATGTAATATACAAATTCCTTTCTGGCATTATCTACACTAGATTGTCAGAATACTAAGAAAACATAATTGGTGATTATCAAAATGATAAATATACATAGAACTATATAAAATGTATATAGACTTTAAACAAGCTTTTGATAGTGTGAAAAGAGACAAAATGCTGGAAGACCTCCGAAATCTCGGTATACCAAGAAAATATATCAACCTCTTAAAAATGACGTTGCAGGGTTCAAAAGCCGCAGTTGGAGTAGATGGAGAATTGTCTCCCCTGTTTGACATCAACATGGAGGTGAGACAGGGAGACGAACTTTCAACCATGCTGTTCAACCTAGTTCTTGAGACAGTCATCAGAAAAACCAATGTAACCGGTCATATTAACACCAAAACAGTACAAATTAGTGCATATGCAGACAATGTCGCCATTATTAGTAGAAGCAAGACACAACTAATGGAAACTTTCAAGGAAATTGATCCTGAAGCACAAAAAAGGGGGCCTAAAATAAACGAAACAAAAACTAAGTACATTACCATCAAAAGAACACCCAAGAATGAAAATAATATAGTAATAGACAACTATACTATTGAACGTGGGGATGCCTTCACAAATCTGGGCACAGAAATCAATAAGAATAATTCCGTATTTAGCAAAATTAATGCACTTATTTCCAGTGGAAATCGTACATACTATGCTAATAAAAGATTGATGACATCGAAATTATTAGACAAAAAAAACCAAAATGACTATCTACAGAACTTTGATTAGACCTGTAGTAACTTATGGTTGTGAAACCTGGGTAATGACGAAAAAAGAGGAAGCTCAACTCAGGACATTCTAGAGAAAGATACTGAGAAAAGTATTAATGGCCCGGTGCAAGAGGAAGACGGCACATGCAGAATCAGGAGAAACGACGAGGTTAATGAACTGAGTGAAGGGTATGACATTGTAAGATTTGTGAAAAGTCAAAGACTGTCATGGCTGGGACATGTTCAGCGGCAAGAAGATACAAAAACAACAAAGAATATGTTACAGTGGAAGCTGGTAAAGAGGCGGAAAAAAGGAAGACCCAGGACGAGATGGTTTGATGACGTGGAAGACGATCTGAAAACCATGAATATAAAACAATGGAGAAAAAGGGATCCAAGAGAGATCTGAATGGAAGGATATAGCCCATCCAGGGTTATGATGCCAAAAAAGAGAAGAAGAAGAATATTATATGTATGCTTTATTCACTATATGTGTTTCATTTTGAGAACAAAAATTATAAATTTGTTCTGTAATTATATGTTTAGTATAATATCCCCCAATGTTTTGTATGTTTTTTTAATTACTATTGGCATTTGGTTCAAAAAAAGTGAATCTTTATGGTAATCCCTTACCGTATGAAGGTAATTAAGTAAGTCTGAATTAGACATGTTTAACAAAAATGTTATAATATAAAACTAATAATAAATGACGAGATGTCATTTCTAATCTAGTTATCAATTGCCATTTATCAATGGTTAGTAAGAATTGGACTCTGTTATCTATCTAGCTGCTATAGTTGTTATAACTTGACTTGATTTACCTTTTAATTTTTTTAACTACAGGCTGTTACAGAACAATTTACCTATGGTCCACTAGCCCTAATATGCTTCTTCTTTGGCATGAGTTTACTGGAGGGTAAGAGCATTGAAGATGCCAAACAGCAGGTTAAGGATAAATTTTTTCCAACATGGAAGGTATGTATTCGCCAACATTATATTATTCGTACTTTAGAAATTATTATCTATACTTACATAAACTCAAATTGTAACTCTAACAGCGATATCTCCGTTCATTTTTATCATTTTACATACATTTAAAATTAGGAGAATGCATTCATAACAGGTTGCCAGTCAAAAAGTGGCCACAAATAGTTTTAATTCAATTACATAACGGTAATTAATTGTTGAACAAAAATTTCGCTCATTCATTTTTTAAATAAAATACACTGCTCATGACATATATGCATGTTTTTTTGGAAGCATAGCTTTCTTATCATATAAGGACGGAGCGGTGGATCGCACTTAGGTATGAAAAAATAAAACCTACATTAAAAACTTTAATGACACATCGCGCGACCACTCACTTTGCGCCATCTCACACTAAAAAGAAAAGAAAAAAGAAAAATAGATTTAACCTAAATCATTCCATTGAAAATTGAGCTCCCTAAGCTATTGGGAACTAAATATTGGGAAAAAGAACGAATAGTTATTTTTAAAACGGAGTAGCATCGCTTTTACACTGTATTACCGCTCTAATTCGATTGGGCATTGACTCTACTAAGGATCTGCAGTGTTTAGTGATTGCTATATCGGCAATATAGATAAAAAGCACTTAATTTCAGTTCGAGTTTCCACAAGTCTCCCTGAAGAGAGATAAACCTCAAAATGGTGAAACATGTAAATGAAAAAGAAAAGCTGTCATGTAATGTTTAACACATTTTTGTTGTAGGTTGGTGTTTGCGTTTGGCCAGTTTTGCAAACAGTGAACTTCTGCTACATCCCTGAGAAAAACAGAGTACCTTTTGTCAGTGCCTGCAGTTTGTTGTGGTGCTGCTTTTTGGCATACATGCATGAACTTCAATTGAAACAGAAAGAATTAGAAATATCTCAATTACAACTATTAAAACAATAACGAATGTGATCTACTAGCTTTATATTTTAGACCAATTTTAATTTATTATTCTGTATATAGAAGTAAAATATATTAGTAAATATTTTTCTATCAATAGTTTTTTATTAATCATTATAAGAATGTACGTTATTTGGCAATTATAAACGATTTTTGCTTGACTTCGTTATCAACTGTACTTACAAAAAAAAAAAGGTGGTGCCGTAGGCGGTACAGTAGATTATCGGGAAACTTCATACTGTTTCTGTATTTTTTTAAATTTAAATAATTCTTTTAAAATTAAAGAAACTAATTTTATTATTTATATTTGAAACAAATTATATTATATTAAAATAATTTAATAAATTATTATGTTTGCGCCTCACGCCACCTGCTAACGTATTAACAAAGCTTACGCTATTTAATTCTGACAAACCCGTCAAAGTCAGGCTAAATATTAAATTAATAATAAAATATAAATAAATATCATTTGATAGTAAATTTAATTAGAGAGTTATCAAGTAAAATTTTATCCTTCCGTTATTTTGACACGTAAACTCTATTTTTTACGGTATAAAGTTTTACGGATATGTAATTTTAGAGTTATCAAATAGTCGAATTGGTGCTTCACGTTAATAGTTGGCAGCTGTCAGTCAAATGTCGTATGTGACAGCAAAATAAATAATTTTTTTGTTTTCTTTCATCCAAGGTATATATTTTGTCTGGTTTTATACATTTTGTATTTCAAATATTTTCTACAGAAATATGAAAGACATTTTAGAACAAGCAATATTAGTTGAAGCAAATGACGAAGTTATAGAAGATTTAATACTAAATCATATTTTAAATGATAACATACAAAATGTACATTCGGTATTCAATTTGGATAGCTTAGAGCCTGAGCAAGCCAAATAGTAGTTTCGGTTTGAAAAACAGAACATTCCAGAGAGTTGACTCCTCGCACTTCTTTTACTAGTAAAAGGTCATCAGTGCTTGGAGAATGCAGCCTTTTTGTCGTTTTTACTATTTCCGTGGTCATAATTGATAAATATAATGAAATATAATAAAATGTTTTATTTGTCTCGCAGGTGCTTAACCAAGAAAACTGTAAACACGTGTTAACCAATGCATACAGATAAAATTACAGAACACGAACTCCAATCTCCGAGTCCCGAGTCTTGACGAATTGGTGCGATTCGCTGCTAACGTTACCGTATATCAAACCCGCTATTCGACGTACGGTAACGGAGCTCCTAAACGTTAAAATAATTTACGTTATTCACATTTCATACTGCGCATGCTCCGCTGTCAAAATAACGTTACCGTATTCTCACTCTTTCACTTGATAACTCTCTATTCACCTTACAACTAACGTTAAAAATGTACTGTTCCAACTATGTATTTCGTGTAGCTTATTAAATGAATTAGTTTTATATGTTTATATTATGAGACCATCCCGGAAAAAAGGGCCCATATGCCAAATGGCGCTTTTGAGAAAAACGCAATTGAAAATTTAACAAGTATTTTGAAAACAAAGATTTCTTCAAAGAAAATTTTTAACTTTATTGAAAGCTAAAATAAAAGTATTGTATTTAAACTAAAGTTACAATAAGATGTTTCAAAGCTATAGACACATTTTTATGTAAATATAATTTTTTACATTAGCTTGTCATGGGCCCTTTTTCCACAGATCATTTGCGAAAGTATGAAATAAGTTTAAGAAAATCTTTATTTGGCAAATGACCTAAAAAATAAACATTAAAACAAGTTATTATTATACAAAGAAATTTATACAGAAATTTCTTCTAGTATCCAGCATATCCATTGTTCATGTTCTTAGGACAAAAACTAAAAAAGATCTCTCACGTCTTTTTCCTTCGCCGGCTTTATTCCAACCACTGGGACAGTTTGAAGAGCAATGTTTGTGTTTATGTTTCTTCCTTTCCAAATTGTGAATGGTATGTAATTTTCCATGTTGTTTGAGAACATGCCAATGTTCCGTCTTTTTTGTATTTCATTTGTACATACTGTTGAATGCTAAAAACAAGTCCCTTTGTTTTTGGCTTATTTAGAAAGAGTCCTTCCAAACTTCCAGTCCAATTTTTGATTAGCGTTCTGCCAATGACAACATTAAAAGGAGATGGATTTTTCCGACAATGCACTATTGCTTCCAAATATGGCTTTACCGTCCCTATGTATTCCTTCTTTTTTAAAGATGACCAATTGGGCTTTTACCAGCCCAAAATTGCGATCGCACTGGTTAAAGGAATGGCCACGAACCGGAAATATATGTCGAATATTGACGTTAAACTTGTGTGCTAGCCACATTCGAAATTTTACCATTGAAATGTTCTTATTTTCTCCTCCGTACGCATCCGACAAAAGACGATTTCAGTGACATCGCCATTAATTTTTTGCACAAGCAGTCATAGACGATTGAAATAACAGAATCGGCGCCTTTTTTCCTTGTCCTATAAATGTATACATAAAAGACGACCCATCATTGTGAATATGTATATTAAAGAGATAACACCAAAGAAGACGTTTATAAAACTGCACTGTTACATTGAGTTTCGGAACTGGTAGATTATGTCCATAGTCAAATTCATTAACAAGGCAACTACTGTCAGTTTTACTTCTTTCTATCAGATTCCTTCTCATTGCTATATGTCGCTTTACTTTCACATTGTAAAGGAGATAGGAAACAGGTATCGTTAGGATTAATAGATAGTTTTTGTTTACATTCTGTGCAGAAATCACATAAGTCTGTTTTGGGATTGTTGAAACTGTATGGACGCAGTGACTTAAGATACTGAAAGTATGTCTTGTATTGTATTTCATCTTTAGATTTGTGCATGTCTTTTCTTTATAGTATTGTACAAAAAGCTCATACAACTTTTTAATATTTAATTCGGGATTCTCAAAATATTTTAGTTGAGATTTGTGTTGGGAATACTGACTTTTGGGAATAAGCAAGTCATGAATTTTGGGAGCCAATTTGTAGGGTCTGTTGGCACGTGTCCCTCGTTTTTCTGTAAATGAATCCTCTTCAATTACCTTCTTTTGTACTACACGAATGCGCTTAACAGATACTTGAAAAAGTTTTTGGATCATGGTCCGACATGTTTTTATTCTGTCACCCTTTTGAGACACGAAATATTCTCATGTATACACTCGTAAAACTTTTGGATTATTCTTGAGTCCTTTACGTCTCATACACTGAGCCAACAAAGAGTCCTGTTGAGGCCATGCTTGTAAATAGAAGTGTTGAAATAAATGTTTTTGATCATCGACACTTAAACGGGTAAAACATTTGTCCAGGCAGCATTTTATGATTAACTGAAATGACTTAACTGTAGGCTTGTGTAGTTCATGAGCGAACTAGTTCAAAGATCCGGCTCCAAACCCTGAACTAAATGAACTAGTTCGTCAGAGCTGGCTTAAACCGTTCACTCGCTCCGCTGAGCCGTTTATTTCTCGGAGTCGAAGCTTCGCGTTTCGTTTGTTCGTCGGTCAGGAGCGGTTCAGTTCAAATCTTCCGAGTTCAGACGCGACGAACGAAATAAGTGAGCTGGGTAACTGAGCGGGTAGGACGGAAGAACATGAAAAGAACTAACCATTTAGGAACTAATATGTGGACATGTGGAGTTGTGGACGATTAGTAGAAGCACGAGTAGAAGTGGGTGAGCGCTGAAACTGCTGAGAAATCATTTAGTTGAGATTATAATTTCAAGTTTGTGGTGCGTTTTATTTTCATTATATAGATAATTTAGTTTACTTTACCGTGAGGGTGAGCTGATAACTGGTGATATATTTATGTAAGTAAAAATTGTTTTAGTGTATTATAATTGTGTAGAATAATATTATGTATCATAACAATAATAATAATATGTACAATCATTATTTTATGTTTATTAATTATTAATTTTTGTATATAATAATTAATTATTGTATGTAATAATAATTGTATGTTTATATAGTACCTATACTTGTGTATAATAGTACTTGTGTATAATAATAATTGTGTACAATTATTGTAAGAATTTAATTAAGTCTTTTTTTATTTCAGATTAAAAAAAATACTTTGAAAAGAAAACACAGTGCTCTTTGGGACTATTTTACGGAACATGGAGACAAAAGAGCCAAATGCAATTACTGCTCCCAATCAATTAGCATTGCTAATGGTTCAAATGGAAACTTAAGTCGCCATATGAAAAGTAAGCAGCCCATAGTCTTAACATCAGTGGAACCGTCTAAGTCTGAACTTATACCTGAAATCCATGTAATGAATAGTGAAGATATTTCTGGTCACACGTCATCTTCCTCAAGTACCAAAGCAAGATCTCAAACCAGAATAACAAATTTTGTTCGAAAGCCGCCATCAATACATAAAATAGAACAAATCGATAAACAAGTTATCAAAATGATCGCTAAAGGGCATCATGCATTAAGAATGGTCGAAGAAACAGAATTTAAAGAATTAATTAAAATGGTATCTCATTGTCCAAATTATCAATTACCATCTAGGAAAAAATTGTCTGAAAATTTGCTCATAAAAACACATCAGCAAATAGCAGAAGAATTACAAATAAAGTTAAATAACGCACAAGCCGTGTGCCTTACTACTGATTCATGGACATCCCGCTCTAATGAAAGTTACATTGCTGTAACAGCTCATTATATTGACGAACAATCAAAGCTTTGTTCTTCTACGTTAGGCTGCATCCAATATAATGAAAGACATACTGCTGAAAACATGTTAGATTTCCTGAAAAACATATTGCAAGAATGGCAAATTTCTCACAAAATAGCTGCTGTTGTAAGTGATAATGCGTCAAATATTTTATTAACTGTTAAAATGGACAATTGGACATCGGTTGAGTGCTTTGCACATTCATTAAATTTGGTTGTTCAGAAAGCAAAACGGACAATATCAGATACTCTTGCAAAGGTGAAATCTATTGTGGAATATTTTAAAAGAAGCACTCCGGGACTACGTAAATTACAAGACGCCCAACGACAAA